ACTTGATTGTCTTGTCTGATCTGCATAAAGTGATCTGCATCAAAGCACTTCTCCCACTTTGCTTTTTTTTTTTTTTTTTTTTTTTTTTTTTTTAATGAGAGTAGACCTTATATTTGTCTACTTGGCTAACTTTGAATTAAAAGTTTCCAGAGGCAGAGATCTCACTGGAACACTTGATAAACCATTCCTCTAGTTTTCATTAAAAACATGTCATTGTTTCTATTACAAACAAATATCTCCAATGGATTGTTTTGAATTGAATGGACCACCAGAATTCTTTTCCTTGTGCAGTTACTTGTTAACAAAAGACAACCGCATAAGGACCACATCCTACTTTCTTTCAAACTATATAAAAATTTTCACTAAAACTGTGACTGCTGCAATATGTTACTGCTTCAGACCCTATAAGGAGTCTGTTCTTGTTTGGAATGAGCAATTTTGGAAACTGAAAAGAAAAAAATTAACTCAGATTATACCAAAGCTATACCACATAACCGAATCTGTATTATTATCCCAATGTTTTAAAGGAACTTGACTTAGAAGGCCCACAGCTCATGATTTGAAAACTATTGAGAGGTCACAGGCCCCATAAGGAAAGTCAGCACCTGTATGTGGTAGGAAGTCACACTTGTGTTCCAGCTTTGAATTATCAGCATCATTCCTCTCTAGCAGCCACTTGCTCCATTGAGCACGTGGCATCAGCAGCCAAGATGACTGTAATGTTTGCATATCTAAATTCAGAAATACTGTATATAAACACAGGCATATTAAAACCATATACTAAAAAATAGGTTGTATTTCTCTTGAGGAAATTTCCTACTGAAGAAATCAGTGTGATACGCTCTGCTAAACAGTTGATTCAATATCTTGAATGTTGATAGTTTGGTATGCAATCTTCATGTCTGTCACTGAAATGTACTGATTTCTGTATGTAACATGGCATGACCAATTTCTTTGTTTTTTCATACAGTCAAAACTATTTCTGCAGGGGAAAAAAAAAAAAAAAAAAAAAAAGGCCATACTCATTGATTTCCCTGAGATTTTCACACCAATATCTGCAGACCTATTTTTGCCTATGGTTACCAATGCTCACATAAAATAGGTAAGTAAATAAAGTAAATAAGCAAATAAACCATTTGTTTTGTTTTGTTTTGTTTAGTTTTATTGAATGCAGAACAGAAGCTGCTCCAATTGATGGTATACATTTTTATATCCGCTCCTACTGACAGACTTGGAGTAGAGAAACAGAATCCTAGAACCACAGACTTAAAACACACTCACAAGCTTGTCTGAAAGATCTGGTTAGGTCAACATCAAATGAAATACAAAGGAATTCCACCTTAACTTAGACTTTTGTCTAAATATAGATGGAAGTTAACACTGTCTTCATGTCACTAACTGAAAAATATTGGGAAAAGTTTTGCTTTATACTTGGGTGGGGAAAGATACTGGAAAACAAGGACTGAATTCTGAGGAATTTAATTAAATCATCTGATGCTCAAGCACGTAACATAAAATGCTTTCTGAACCAAATGTATCGTTCTACTACTCTCATGTTATTATTGCTATGTATTATGAGTAATAATTAGTGATTGACAGTAATAGTATCTACTAAGATCTAACAAAGACTTAAACTATTTTCCTGAGTTTTCAAGGTTAAAATGTCAAAGATACAAGACAAAGTTTTGATTCTAGCTTTATAGAGAGTTTACTGGTATGAACAGCTGAAAACCCAAGCCTTAGTTTAAAAGGCATACCTTTACAATTTAGTCAGCTGCCTGCCAGTTACACACTCAGTGAACCAATGTGAAGGCTGTAACAACAGAAGTTTTGGTGGTTCAACAAACACTTTTTTAAGAGAAAGTCTCCTTACAATGAGGAGCCCAAGGACTGATAAGAGAGAACTACCTCAAACTTCCGATATGACATAATATTAGCAAAGAATGAACACATAATTAAGAGTAAGGGTGAACAGGAAGAGCTGTGTGGGTACAAACTGAGAAAAGATGAAACTTGTACTAATTGTACCCTGGGGACAGAACACTATAGGAAGTTTTAGAATTAACTGTGGCTGTAGATGAAAGCAAACAGCTTAGGATCTTTGGCTACAGCTGAAGAAATTCTTCCTTCTATCCCCTTCTTCATCCATACATGAAAGAAGTTTTGACATAGCAAAGTATCAGATTATTAAAAGCAGCTAAGTGTAAGCAATACAAGCAATGAAAGTGTCAGAAGAAAGTAGTATCTTCTTCACTCTAGGAATCAGCAGAAATTTCCAGTGGCATAAAGCTGTAATTAGTTGTATACAGACAATATAGTGTTGCTCTTCTTCACTGTTAACCATTTCCCCCCATTGTTTCTTTCTTTGCACATTTGTTCATTGTACTGTAGGGCTATTTTGAGTTAGAATATTACATACTTGACTCTGGTAATTAGGAGAGCACTGACACCATGAGGGCTAATCCAAGCCATCCGTCAATGTAATGTACACTGTTCCAGTACTTATCTAAGTGAAGATACTTGCTTTTTGTGGTCTGTACTGTACTAAGACCATCTTTTCAAAAATCTCCAGTGTACTTTAGGGAGTCTCCCTTTTTCCCTTATTTTGGTCATACTAGTGAGAGAAAATTTTTGCTTGTTAAGTTAATACACAGCATTCCTTGCAACCCTTGTCTTCATTCCAAGGTAGACCAAGCCAAATTCCATTCTGAACTGTGTCCAGTCACGTTCACTTAACTTGGCTTCAACAAAAACCTGGTGGTATGGGATCTGGATGATTTCGGGTCTAATACTCAGAAGAGCAGCGGGCTTTCTTTCTCTTCTTAGTTCCTGGTTCCCCTGCCTAGTCTGGCAGAGCAGGACAGTTTTCATCTGTTCTGAAATTCCTATGCTGGAGAGGTTTCTCCAAGCATACATTTATATTAGTAATTAGCACCTTTCCCACTTTCTTGTTAATCAAAACACAGATATAGAGAGATTGAATAGAAGAGTTTATTCAAGTCAATATTACTGATTATAGATCAATATTTAACAATAAGACAATTATTTCCATAAATTCTTTGTCTGTTTTTCCATGGTAAGATTTAGAATATGGGAAGTATCTGCTTCAAGTATCATGCAAGGAACCACTAAACAAAGCTTGCAAAGCTGCTGCTGCAAACAGTAAAAGCTTGAACTGCAGGAATCCAGCAGCATGACATAGAAGTGACAAGAGCAAGAGCTACAGTGCCATATAGTCTGTGTAGGGAGTGTTCTTGGTCAGAATGTGCATCATCTCTTTACTGGACTGGTGCAGAGTCACGAACATAAACCAAAACGTAGTATTTTCCCTAGATCTATGACAGAATCTGAAAAATACAGCTGAACTTGAAACTAGTGCAAGCGTTGGTTTGTTCTGCTACCTTCTAGCAGCTCTGCCTGGAAGACATTCAAGTTATCTCTGCAGACTACCATTTTGTCTCACTGTATTTCTGTGGATCTTTGTCTTTATTTGATAATGAACAATGTATTTGGCTACCAGTCATCCCTCTCTGACACTTTCTTTTACAGCCTGTCAGTATCCCACAGAAACAGCCTACTCATCTATCAAAATCCTCAAATCTAATCTCCATCACTAAATTTTTCCTTCTGCTGTTCTGTTCTGAATCCCAGGTCTGAGCATCGCGCAGGCCTTCTGAATGGACAGTCACAGTGTTATTTTTCATGTAGACCTGTAAAGCAAAGAAACTATAAATTATTTTTCTGCCCTACAAAAAGAAAAAAAAAAGGGAAAAAAAAAAGGTGGGGGGAAACTCTTTTTCCTCTAAGTTTCTGCCTCATGTCAAGGAATAAAATGCACCCTTTATCTCAGGTCTTTTACTTTTTTTCCTGAACAAATTACTTTGCTCTGCAGCTACCAATTTCCTGACCTTAACAATGTTGTTTACAATAACAGATTTCTATTCATTTATATATCTGATGAGTCTGAGAATATGTGGAGACATGAGAACCTGAGACAACAAAATAGTAATAGTTTTAGTATGATGTTTGTATCTATTTCAGATTACGAAAACATTAGAATATGTTAATTTGCTTGAAGTTCTTCAACTGGGACAGTTTTCAGGTGCTTATAAGACAGACTTTAAGGCTTGGACCTCTTGTTTCCTATTATGTCCTGACAAAAAAGCAGAAAAACTAGCAGGGAACAACAGAGTGTCTAAGAATGGAGGGTTCATAGAAGTGTGAAAAGATCATCTATATTTTCTATTCCTCTATTATCATTCTCAAAACTGAAAATAGAGTTTGATATATATGAGTAATGGTGACCTAGATGCAGGAGCATCCAAACGAGTATTATGCCTTTTCATATGTGTGCAATACAAAACTTACCAGGATACCCTGAAACTATATAAATATGCTTCTAAGTTACAGACAGTTCTAAGCCCTGCCCTGTGTGTGTATATGTACGTATATGTACACCTGTATGTATATATTACAGATGTTTATACACAAAAATGAGGCTGGCTTTCACACAGGCATTTCTCTGTAAATATAAATTATCTGTCAGAAAGAAGTTGGGGAGAGATGTTTTTAAACTCCTGTTTGAAATGTCTTGCATACACAGGAATGACAAGGAACAGAATAGGAGCGTAATGTAGGCTTGGTGGTTTCCATGCTAAACAGTGAACACAGATGTATGTGAAAGGCAGAGAGAGTTAAGGGGAACAGACAGATTAGGAGTGGATCATGATTTGAGAGATTAATGGTGTTCTCCCAAGGCCAGTAAGAGACAGATGCAATAGCAGGTGAAGTTTATCTTCTGGTAGTTTTCTACAGTGGGATGAGTTAAAAATCAAATCTGAATGGGTGAAGATGATGGGTTCCACATCTGTAAGTGGAGCAACTGTCAGTATTCTTCTGTCAAACACATTATATGCCAAAGCAGCAGTAACTACTACCCATGCCACCATCCTTCACTTGCACAACTACATTATGTGACAATGAAACTGGACCCTCACCTTGTTGGGCCAATGCTACTATGTTCCATCTTCCCTATCTTGCTCCTTCATTTCCAGAGTCCTGGGCAAGTCCAGAGGGATTATAGTTCTTGTTGTATCAGTTTCACCATACTCTTTCACCTCAGAGTTCCACCTTCCTAAAGGCAGAAATTAGGCCAAGTCTGTAGTCCTCCTCTAACATCCCTTCAGTTGTACAAGAATTAGACAAATGCAGTCACTTCTCATAGGATGAGCTTGTTCAGGCAATGCACTGGTGTAAAGGTTTCTCCAGGAATTTGTTAGGCTAAGAAAAATGTTGTTGGTACAGAACTGTGTGCAAGCAGAGGCTAACACTCTGAAAACCAGCCCTAATTTTAATCTCATCAACATGTGAACACATGGCATGGTCCTGCTTGCATCTCAAAATATGCATACAGAGCCTAAAAACCACACAGCTTCAGAGAAGTCAGAGATATGTATACACAGAACCATGTCAGCAATGACTCAACCACAGGTATTTGTAAAATCTGTGAGCATTTTTTCTTTTCTTCCTTTTCCTCCCCATGTGTAAAACTTGTAAACAAAAACCTGTAAAAGAAGCTTACTTCTTCTTATTACACTTCTCTATCAGAATACATTATTCGAAAGAAGAGCAGAAAAACTATATGTAAATTAATACATGTGATCCATAATTAAGGATGAAAGTATCAACAACAGAAAAAATAGAAATGTCCAGATCACCAAAAAATAATAAATATTATTTGTCTTTTATGCTTTAATTCAGGATTCTCAATAGTTTTGTTTCAAGATGCTAAACAAATATGTCCTTCTCAGAGTAACAAAACTATGAGAGAATCTATTCTCTAATTTGACTGTATTACCTTATTTTCAAGCATGCATTCTATACAAGCATGCATTAAAATGTTTAAACAGAGCTGTTACAGAAATTAATTCAACTTGATAGATTAGAATAACAGTCTCAAGGATGTGCAATGAATCTTTAATGAATTAAGTATTAGAACAGTACACTGAATCATACAAATGAAGAACATAAAGAGAAGCTTACCTGTATGAATATCCCTGAATTATTTTTGAAATAAACTGAGTAGTACAGTATATTTCCATTAGGCTTTTGAGGAGGAGACCAGAACAGCATTACTGATGTAGAAGTAATGTTTCTGTATATAACATTTTTCGGAGGATCACCTGGTGCTGAAAAAATGTTAAGTTTTAGCATGCCTAACAGAAGGCTTAGTACATTATTGTGCCCAAGACATAGCCACTATTGATTTCACAACAGCCTATGTCAAATTGAATACATTTCTGAATGTGGTATAAAAATTGCTTCTGTAAATGATAAAATAGTAAGTGTAAACAATTTTTTTAAACTTTTTTTTTTTTTTCAGACACATTTTTATTTTGCCACACTGGCACACAAAAACTATTTTCTTATAGAATTTGTCCTTTATTTACTATGTTTTGTGTGCATAGTCTACGCTGTGTATGTACACAAATAAGTGACAGAGTTATCACAATTTGCAAACAAAAAAAGGACTTCAGAATATCTAAATTAAAAGCCTGTTTCTGTCTTTGATGATTATAAACAGAGTTTAGGCTTCCAACTCTTATATGTTAACCAGATACCTAAGCTTGGACAGCATGATTTTCTCTGCTTTTTAATCTCTTTCCTCAGCCTACTGAATATACAGGAAGGACTGTGTAAGTATTCTTCAATTAATCCGTCCTCCTATCCTGTAAAGCATATAGTCCTTCTCAGTAGCACAGGGATGCAGGAAACTCAAACTCCTTAATTTCATTATGTCAGTTGAAGAGAACTTAAGTCTACATTCTGGCCATTCAAGAAAGTGCTCTACACAAGTGCCATAGAGTACTGAACACTGTAGGTGATATTAAGACTCTTGTTTTGTGTTGTTCTAGTTTGTATAACATACTAAAATATTGGAAGGAGAACTCTAAGATCGATGCCTAAAAATCCTGCCTTAAAAAGTCCGTTTCAAGCTTTATTAGCAAAGACTGGGAATACCTAAAATTTGGTGTTTCAGTCTTTTGAGAGATGCTTTGGATAGACACTAATCTTGCTACTGATTGTTGAGTTTATCTGTGCATGATGATTCTAAAATATGTCTGCACACAATCCATTTTGGAACATATTGCAGCAATATAATTAGTGGGAAAAACCGAAATATTAATGTAACTGAAAACCTTTAAAAGCACAGTATACAGTATGATCATTTATAGAAGTTAACTACAACTTTGAAAATCATTAAAAAACAAACAATTAAATCATTGCACACTTACAGATTTAACTTTCAAATTAAATCCATTTCAGGATTGTGAGAGAGACTCTAGAGAGTATTTTCCTTCTCAGAAATTATGGCAGAGCAAGACAGAGCAAAGAGCTATTACGTATATTATAATATTAATTAGGTTTATTTCAAAATTTAAAACTAAATTATTTTAATCTTACCTGTCTTGAAGGGAAACACATTCTGCTCAGTAGAACAACAGAAATTCCAAACATAATTTTATAGAACCATAGATATAGTGTACACACGCAGACACACATCCACACACACATATATACAAGTAGAACATCTCTTCTTGACCAGTCAAATGCCATTCTCCTTCAGCAGCATTATTAAATTATATGAGCCTAACAGAAATTCAAGGCTACATGAAATCAAAGATTCCTACTACATATAACATATAAGCTTACCTCCTTCAGAAGTTCTGAATATTATAGTATCGCTTTTTATGTTGCCATCTCCAAATCTTGTACTTGCTGTAACATATGCACTATACTCAGAGTTATTTTCCAGATCTGTGAACTGCAGTGATGTTTCTGTTACATTCACACTCCTTTTTGATATTTTATTCCTAAAGAAAAATATTTTATTAATTATATATGCATGCCATTTCTCTATGTATACAACTCTGGAGTATGATATTAAATTGAAAAAATGTTATATTGTGGTAAACACAAATATTTTATCATATTTAATTTTATTTTCATTTATTATTATTATCATATTTTATCATATATTGACAAGCTCACTTTTGTACTTTTGCATCACAACAGGGCTCTTTATTTATTTATTTATTAAAACAACAACAACAAAACAACAACAAAACAAAACAACAACAACAAAAAACACCAACAGAAAAATGTATATTAATTCATCAGCAAAGGAGATTATTATATTGAATACTGAGGAGGAGTAGGTCCATCTTGTAACTGCTATCAAATGGTTATATGGTACCCTTGGGAAGGACACAGGAGGGCATAACTAAACTGTCTCCCTGGACAGGAATAGCGAAATATAAAAAGATTATAGCAGGGAGCATGCCCTACTGTGACTCTGTGAAATTGGTCAGAAGGCTGAAGTTATAAATGGAATAATAGAAGATGATATGGAGCAGGAATTAGCTGGTGCTGAGTTAATTCTGGTGGAATGTAGCAAGGGATCAGAATGGAACTCTAGTCAGGCCAAAACCAGCCTAGAATGACTATAAGATGTAACATTAATAAAATGCTGGTATTAGCATAGGTATGAAATGATTATAAGAAAGTAAAGTAAGATACAGAAATAACTAATTTGAATTTTAAAAGTCTGTTATTCCTCAAGAAATTAATTTATTATTTTACAGAAGAAAAATAAAAATCTGGCTAACATTCCATTCTGCAAATAATTCTGTATGAATGGATACTCTGTGTTTCTAATGGGATTTCATAGAGGGATGATAATTTTACAATACGTTAAAAAAAAGCAAAATAATGAAGGGTGATCCTTTTCAGGGAAGCAGCCTTTGTAACACAGTGCCACCAACATTACATTTTTCTCAAAGTTTTGATATTTTGAGTAGTGTATAAAGAAAAACAAAAGGCTGCTGTCACAATTATTAAATTCTATACAAAGAAAACATATTTTCTTTGATCTTTGTCCAATATATTCTTAGTACAGAAAAAGGTAGCTGGTTGTAATTTAAGAAGAAAACGTACAGCTCACTGCTGCAAACATTTCCATGCTGAGTAATTGCATTCTCATAATGTCTTATTTGCCAAAGAACATCTCCACAATTAGGCCATCGTTACAAAGAAGAACTAAAGCTTAGAGTTTTTCAAGAAAAGTTGATTTTCTGTTCAGAAAACAACTGAGGCTGCAATCAAAATAATAAGAATAGAATGATCAAGGTGAATTTAGTCTTCACAGACAATGAGAAAGAGGTCTAGCAAAATACACTAACCTGAGGAATTCCAATGAGGAACAATAATATTAAGTTTTAAATGAGATTTTTCAAAAACCTAGACAAAGGAGGTCCTAAGAAATTGCGTACTAGACAAAGACAGGCACTATAGTTTCATTAAAAAATTGCACCTCTAAGTAGATCTATTCAGTAATTACCTCAGAAAAAAAAAAAAAAGAAAAGCTCAATGGGATAATGATAATTTTTGAGCCTGAAATATTTTCTTTAAAAGAACAGTGGTATGGGTTGCTGTGCAAGTACAGCAAAAAGTCAATAGCTGTTGGCAAGTTGAGCAGTTTCATTAATATGCCTTGGTACTATGGAACTGCTGACTCGCAATATGAGTTCATAGACTCAAGGTACCCAGAAAGTTCCTTTGTTACTTACTTGTACCCAAAACCACCGTGTCCTGTGACAAATTCATGAAGGACGATATCAAAGAGAACGTTGCTCTTTACAAAAGTTGTGGATTCTTGTTCCCAAATCATTAAAGAAATCTTACCAAATTTTCTGTAATTGCCATGATATATTTAAGAGAATGAACAATTATTTAAATATATATATAATCTGTATTAGATTTCCTTTTCCTGCTTTATCAAGAAGCTCTGGGAATAACAATCTCCCCAGTAACACAGAGAATGCCTCTCCAAAAGCAGAAGCTATGGCATGGCAGTTTGCCTTGTCATATATCACCCTGAAACACACTGGATGAAATTATACAGCCAATTCTGTTAAATACATAAATTAAAAAAAGGAAAAAAAAAAAAAGGAAAAAAAAAAAAAGAGTGAAGCTGTGACCCCTTGGAAGGCAAAGGGAGTTTTCCTCCAATGTCCTTGCCTCAGGATGATACCTAATCCCTGTCTAATTTTAGATATGGCACAGTAAGGACAGATAAGACACAGCAAGGAGAATATGGACTGAAAAAGAACAAGGGTTACTGCAAAAAGTTATGTGTTTGTTTAATTCAAATGTTTGGAAGGATGGATCAATTAACAGTTTTTAAAAACTAATTCTTACTAACTCACTTGTCGTAACAAAAGCAGTAAGCTTTTAGGCAATATAAGGATGAAAAGTTCTATAACCTCAAGTCCTCCAAAACAGTAATCTGTATCATGAAGCAGCTCCTTCCTAGATAGAAGACAGTATTAAATTTATTGTTTGTGATTAAGGACTACCAGACCTTGCCAACACAGCAGAATTAACAAGACAAGTTAAATGTAACTCTTCTGGAAAGAAGAGCACACTCCTATTCATTTGATCACAAACTTAACTAGAAATTATAATTTCTGCTGAGGAACTGAGTACAAATCTTACCCCAAAACTGTGAAGTTACATTAAAATAATAAATGTAAGCTCGATAATATTGCATTTATAAAGACTTAATTTGCACACTTGGTTCACATCTCATAAGGTGGAATTCCTTTGCTTGCCATGCTTTTGTATTGGCAATAAAATGGTACAGCATAAATACAGCTATTAAAAGTAATCATCAACAAAATCTTTTCAATCCCAGAAGAAGTTATAAATAGTTCTATGAAGAAACGGCACAGCACCAGACTGAACAACATTGTACGGAGAACAGGATAGAAGCTGCAAGTTTAAAAATGCCCAAATTCCTTTTGAAAGATTAAAAAAGTAAAAAATCCCAGGAGCAAGGACAGGAAACAAATGCAGGGAAGAAGAAAAGGAGAAAAAACTATATAGCAAGTGAAAATTATATATGAAAGAAATATTTGTTTGTTATAAATATATACAAAATAAAACATCAAGCATAACTAATAGCACATACAAAGACTAAAATTGCAAATCTTGAGCTCTTATGCCATATGGGTGGTAGCTAGTAGAGATCTCAAATTGTTTTTACACACTTTCTACAAAATAAATCTACTTCATGTCAATGTCACATTTCCTTTATGTTTTAGGATTAGCCAGTGCCCTGCCTTAAAATAGGCCCAATCAGTATAGAATGAAAGTCATCATGCTCTAATTAAAATTTGAATTAATTTACAAAAATAAAACCCTCAGAAAAAAAAAGAAAAAGAAAAAAGAAAAAAGAAACATTGAAACCACTTGCAAAATATTTAATACCTCAGTTTTCAATTGCCACATTATATTTGAATTTGTACACACAAAAGGCTAGTATTCTAAGTGCTGGATGAATATGTATTCTCCAAAAACATGTAATCAACACATTGTGTAAGAAAAACCTAACATTCCTGCTAGGTTACAGATTAATATTTATCCTCAGAACTATTTCCAGAAAATCTTACCAGACGTAAACTGTGTAATAGAGGATAATTCCATTTGGCTCCAGTGGAGGTTTCCATGACAACTTCACAGTGACACCCGACAACTGTTTTACTGAGAGGGATTCTGGAGGAGAACTAGGAGCTATGAAATGAGAGAACAGGACACAACATCTTGTTAAACAGCTAAGATCGATGGGATATGCAGCATCCTTAAATAGGATTTTAATTATTTGTGATGGAAAGTGAACTTTGTGCTACACAGGTACAGTATCCATCAACTAATGTTATAGCACAGCTTCTTTTCCTTTTTCTGACAGATGATAAAAGAAGATTTTGCATGGTGGTGTTAGAACATCTGTTTCTGTGATTCAATGGAAAAAGTACTTCATGAGAAAACAGGGCAATGGGTAGGTCACAGTGATTCACCTACTGTCCAAGTATGTTGCCGTAATGTTTTTTCTTCTAATAAAAGCAAGAGCTTTATAGGTATGAACACGTGTAAAATACAGCCAAATAGTTCCCCTGAGGAAAAAGAGGTGCTGGAAATAATTATATGAAGCACCAAAATGTGGAAAAATGCACAAGCATGGCACTGAGAGATGATAAAAATGTGGGATACTAGGCAGCAGTAAAATCTATGCACTCCATCAAATAAGGACCACATTCATACACTTAGCATGTCACAAGGGCAACTATAAAGATAGGCATTGACTGAGACCATTAAAATTCATGTTACATGAACTTTACATGACACCATGTTACAACTGTGCAGGGAAACATCATAAGTAAGGGAAAGTGTTACACCATGTTTGAATTCATTTTAATTGAATTACTCTGAAGTTCATATAAATATTACTGAAGAAAAACATACCTATGTATGTATAAGTGATATTGCTTTGTATTAGCATGTTATTGAGAAGCAAACCGTCTTCTTGATTCATGTATATATGCATCACTATGTGGTACTTTTAGAATTACTTCTGTTTTTCTCAAATTAATCCAAATAGCATCATGTACTAAAAATTCAGGTCATAGTTGTAGTCATGCATGGAAATTGAGAATATGAGCATAGCTATTAGCAAATCTATGAAACATTTGGTCCGAAACTTGGAACACTGTGTTCCTGTGAAAAAAGTACATGTGGTGTATTATAAATATTTTTGTTTCTCAGTTGTTGTTCCTTCTATTACTATCTTAAAAGTTGGCATAAAGGTTTTACAACTCTGTACATTCAAGAAAAAAATATTTTTCATGAACAAAGGTTCACTGAATTCAGTAAGCATCTGCATTTAGTAACAAAAAAAATGGTGACAGATGTATTTAGTGTTTTTCTTGTTACACTGTCCTCAGAGACTATACAATAAAAGATCTATGAAACACCGAATGTTGTATCTTCTTGGCATGTCCAGTTTATGGTACAATTCTTGTTCAGGGGATATTTTTTTTGCTAAAGAATAGAATTAACATTGTTCTAACTGAAAACACACTATGTAAAAGATAGTTTTATCCAAATTAGCTGTTCCCAGTATGCTCCAATAACATTACTATTGAACAAAAGTTTATTACTTTTGTTCAGTGTGAACGTAAGCTCATCAACGCCTTGGAGATTTGCAAAGATCTATTATCATCAAAAATTGGATCTTGGGCAAGTCAACGCTTCCTAATAGATGGAAAGAGACTTAATTTGGGAATGCCTCACGGGATGTTTGCGTCAATGCAGCTTTAATCTAGGTTTTCAGAAATGTCCTCCCTAAGCAATGGAGAGGGACAGACAGGCTTCTTCAAATGCAAGTCACAGCACTTAATTGAGATTCTGCTTTGAATTTTTTTCAGGAGTCCCTTACTCTATAGAGGATCTATAGAGGAGATCAGTGACAACTTCATACAACTGCATTGGCTACTGAAAGTGCAAATATCATTTTATGGTCCCTCTGCTGATTTACAAGTTGTACAAATTAGCAGGGAATGCAATGACTATGTTCTACTGTGAGCCCATAGAACACTCCCCTGCTAAATTTCAAAGTCTAGTACTACTGAAAATGGACTTTGAGTATTTTCATAATATTAATAATTTTGCATCTATGTGTGCATGTGTGCCTCTGTTTAGAAGAGCCCCAAAATCTCCAAGTAAAAGAACCAGAAATGTCCCTGGACCATTTAAGATGGTTTTGATTTTCCTTTTCTCCAGCTCTCACAAGTCTGCAGAACAAAACGCAACATTCAATTCTAGTGTTTAATTAGAATAATACTAGTAAATTAAGATCCTTCAAATGCAGAATATGTTAAGACCAAATGCCCATGCACAGCAATCCTATGATTCACAGAGATTGTATTGGTTAACATATTACATAGTATCTATAAACACGCGCACACAAAGATGCAAACATGGATGCATATCATTGAATGTGTAGATAAATAGATATAGAGATTACAAAAATGTGTATAAAACCTATGCATAGCTGATATGAAGCATAAGATTAGATTAAGACTACAAGCAATGACACATCACAACTTCAGTTCTGACTTACCGTCCTCATCAGTCAGTACATGCAGAGGTGCACTACAAAGGCCCTCTCCCATCATGGTACTAGCAGACACTTCTATAGTATATTCTGTATATTTCTTTAAATCTAAATAAAGAAGAACAATTCAGAAAATCAACCATTCAGTAGGGAAAGTTTTTTCTTTTAATGGAAAAAAAAATATATTGAGATCCTATTCCACAAGTAGAAATTCTGAAGAGCTGAACGGGCCCATCATTTACTCTGATTGGTGCCTTTAGAGACTGAAAAAAAAAAAAAAGTGACTTCAGCTGCACCTCATACATCTTGCCCTCTAGACCACTTTATATCTCATATTCCTGGAATGCCTTAAAGCTTATGCTTAGTGATACTCTGAAAATATACTAGTTGAAGTATTGAGCTGCCAGTATTAGCTGCTGAATTATGCTGCAGTTATAATGACAGAATAAATAAAAAGATCAGAAAGATACATAGGTGACCTCAGTGTTTACTTTGTTACAATGATAGATACATGAAAAATATTAATGAAGTTCTTTATACTTTAAACATCTACAACACAATAAGAGGCATGTTAGATTCTGTACCAAGCATGGCCCATTCCACCACATTACTGCAGGACACAACTGGCTGCCTCTCAGCAGAGGCAGCATATAGTTATGTAAGGACAAGAATGATTCTGTCCTTTCAGGGAATTAATTGATATGAACCAGTGGATTAGTTAAACCCTTCTCAGAATAAGTTACAGTTGCCTTAAGTTCCAGATCATTATATACTAGCCTGTAATACGTAGTACCAGATGAGTAGTGTTTATGACTCTTTGCTCAGTTCCACCAGTCCTCTTGAGATAGATTGTGTATGTCTGTATGATTCCATTGGGAATGGATGGTGGAAAAAATGATAATTCAATTTCCACAGATGAGATGTTCCTATAGGTTATGCTTTCCGGTGCAGAATCAGGAACTAGAAGATGAAATTTAGACTTGTAAAAGACCACAGTTAGTTTCATTGATTTCTTAAACTTTTTTTTTTTTTTTTTTTTTTTTTTTTTTTAACTGGCTACAAGGAAACACACTGTGAACATTTTGATTTTTATCTTGGTGATGGTTTTCTGGTTTTTGTTTGTTTGTTTTTTTTGGGGGGGGGACTTTGGGGTGCAATATTGTCTGTTTGTTGTACGAAATAAATTTCAGGAGGCTAAATTGGAAGATCAAAAATATATGACAGACATGCACTGCATTGATAAAGGAGAGGTCATCCTTTTTTTAAAAAAAAATTAAAATCATCTTAACATGCCAGATAAAAAAGCTACCAGAGCATGGTACTAAACTTTCCCTCTGCTATCCCATAACTATTACTGCTATCCTCTAAACTAGCTGTTATTAGATTTTTCATGTGCTGCCGTAATTTACTCTTCATATCAGGAACAGCCTTTGTATTCCTTCTGTCAAGGTGAAATATGCAAACTGCATGAATGCCTGTATTAAGGGGAAAAAAGGGGGGGGGTGGTGGAGAGGGAAGGAAGCCTAACTTTATGCTGTGAGGACCCTGAGATCAATTTGCCTCCTGCGGCTTTGGCTGTGGGGTCTTGGGGCCAGCTCAGCGATAGAGCAGCTGAGCTGCTCTATCTTTTTTTCACCTCCTCGCTGGAGACACACTCACAGACAATGCATCAGTGAGGCCACAGCCAGGGCTGACCACTGTCCTCTGGGAGATACTTTCAATCAGGACTCTCTTGCTGTGTCCTTGGTTGAGCTACAGCTCCTGCTGCATTGCTGAAGTACCACTGACCTAGCTCCGACTTGCAGACAGACATCTCAGGCTGGCCTCCACTTGGCCCCACCACCATGGGCCTGCTCAGCTATCACTGGGCTGTGTCTGACTTAGTTACTGTCACTGAAACTGATCCTGACCCTGACTTGCTGACTCACTTTCCTCACTTGACCTGCCTCATCACCATGGACTCGTTTGGCAACCTGGACTCGGCTGCTCCTGGCTGCCCCTCGCACTGAGGGTTGGTGGGACAGGCCCTGGCTAGTGAAGCTCCTGCCCTGCAAGCCCAGGGACCCTCCCTGGGTCTTGAATCCCTGTCCCTTAGGGAGCAGCTGGCAATTGCTTTATCATGGCAAATGTTTTTTGTGTACATGTGTATTTCTGTCCTCACAGAAATACACAAGTGTTTTCTGTTATCCAAATTTTGTCTGATATAATAATATATCTGATTCCAGCAACTTATAATCATACAATGACAGCACAATTTGCTCCAAAGATCACATAAGGCATGGACAGACGTTTGGAATGCCCAAAACATTCTTATCAAAGTAAGGACATTTGAAAAAACTTTGCATTCATTAGGATAAATCATTTCTGCTTAAGCAACATCAAGAAATTGAATAAATACCATGAGACCCAGTGAAATAAGCCCACAACTCTGCCTAAGTTCATGGCAGAATGGTAACAGAACTCCCAAGAGCTCTTGGATACATCAGCCCATTAAGAGGTTGTAGTTCACTCAAAATGCTCCACCCTTCAGATCCTCCCTTATTTTCATTCTTCTCATCTCAGAAGATGTTTTGGTTATCAAACATCACCATAAAGCAGTTGACTGAAAAAAGTACAGTATTTTTTTAAAAGCCATATACTCACCAGTTTCAGAAGTTCTCACCAGAAGTGGGAAAGATGACTGATTCCCATGGCCAAGTCTGGTGAATGCCCTTACAGTGATGTTGTAGAGAGTATATGGACTCAGTTCAGTAAGTGATATGCTTGTAGAAGAGGCATTTTTAATAAATAAATCATTGGAATCACTGTACAGAACTTCATAGTGAGTTATGAGACCATTGGGTTGTTCAGGTGGTAACCATCTCAGATATATCTCTGTTGCAGTCACATTTACTAACTCTACATTTTGGGGGGGGGAGTCTGGTTCTGCAATACAGAAATCAAAGAGAAAAACAAAAAAACAAAAAAAAAAACAAGTCTGAGAAGTTCAGTTAATTGAATATAGGACTGATCTAATAAACCTATTGGATTCTAACACACTGAGATATCCTGATACTGTAACAAAATGCATAGCTAACTGCAGCAAAAAGGCAATAATTTACTTACTCACATTCCTTCTCAAAGTTTTACCACTTTTTAACTTAGTTAATTTCTGTGCCTTTACTTTTTTTTTTTTTTCCACTAATAAAACTAGACATCTTTTTGCATCCCAGACACTTTAGCTTTTCTGGATCTTTTTTCCTTTCATTCACTTACAAATGTATCCAAAAGTTCAGCTTAAAAAACAAAGAAACAAAACAAACAAACAAAAAATTCAACCTCTTGTCTATTGCTTTTATTCAGATTCATTCTTAAATCTTTTATTGGCTTCCTCTAATTCAAGTTCTTTAACTTTGAATGTTATCTTTCTGCTTTCTTCTTAAATAACCACTCATCTTACTTCACTCAACCAACAATTGAACAAGGGAAAGGGACTGTATGCAGCGTAACTGAATTCCCTTTTAGTTTAACAGTTGTTAATTGATAACCCCAAAGACCCCAGTGTAAATCTTGCATACACTGGTGAGAAGGTCAGGCACAAAACAATTCCAGCACCAGGGCAATGTGTTGGCTAAATCTACTGGCAATGTACTCATGTGACTCCAGTGAGCTCATAACACATTGAAGTGTTGAAGGAGTGAGTGGGCTGCACTTATGAATAAGATCAGCTCTGAATGTCAACCTTGATTCCTCTGAAGGCTTCATCGCTTCACCCCTGAAATAACCTCTCTATAAAATAACAACAACAACAAAATGTAGTAAGAACTTAGGATTATACTTTGTGTACATGTACACAGGCATTTCAGAATTTATCTTGAAAGGTTTTTGTGTAAAGGTCTCACAAACCCATTTCATTCCTGATTTCTGAGCCTCTGAATGAAAAACATTAACTGTAATAGATCACTATTCTCTGGATGACAGGACTGCCCACATGGATAACTCCGATGTGAAGAAGCTTAATTTTCAACTGAAATGCATTTTCAATTTATCTGGCATGTTAAAAATATTTAAACACCACAGCATATTATCTTCAATTCTAATATGTCATATCATCAAAGACAGATGTAATGAGTCTTATTTGGAAGTATCTCTCTCTTTTCAGGAGTCAAACAAGTTGTAATTGCTAGGTTGGTTAAAGTTAAGAGACATGAATCTCAACACAAATTACCTCAGGAAAACTAAGGAAAACAAAGAACAAGATAAGAGTAATTACACAGAGTTTTATAAAAGGTAAGAATTATCAGGGATTCTCTCTCTGACTTCCCCTAGGTTTGCATGTATCTCTTACCAATGGATGAACTGTTGTCCTGATATTCAGCTTTGAACAACTTTCTGTTATGTTCAGAGGCAGGGAATTGAAAACTTAAAATTTATTTCTGAGAAAAAAAGATACATAAATAGGTAATTTTCTGTTCTTGTGATATGCCTTTCTTCTGGAAAAACTAACAGTGTAGAAGGATGCAACCTTTAAAAAAAATTAGTAGCACTTTAAACTTCACTGTTTAATTTGATATTTCGGTTGGCCGGTTACTCATATCATTTAAACCTCATAAATCTCTATAATTTTTAATCCTTCAATCCTTTGCTCTGTTTTATACCCACTTAATTATTCCTCCTGTATGTAGCATATTTGGCAGCTGTGAGAGATAAATGACAATTTGACAATTACCTTCTTTATTACTTTGATAAAAGTTGGAAATAACTCTGTTCAGACCAGTGAAAGTAAAAGCCTGATATAAATGAGGAAAGATTAAGTATTAAACTCGTATTGCTGCTTTGTAAATCAAATTCCCAAGTTCTCTTTGCCAATGGCAACTCCAGCTACTGCACCTTCATGTGTGGATAATGTCTTGCAAAGAAGCAAGCCTCAGAAATCTTTGTAAGGTAGTATTATACCTTACATTAAAACTATTGATCAGTCTTAAGAGGGCTAAAGCCCCAAACCTGTATAAAAACAAGAACATATAATACCATTAAAAGCTCACTTTATCAGGAGCTCTGTTTATAGACATCAATATGGCTTCTGAATTGTTGAAAGCTGTGGTTTCTAGATGCTTCAGAAACCAACCTAATTTCCATATGACAACCAAGGGGGAGGGGGGGGTGATTTCAAGTTCCAAAGATAAATTATTATAATTTAGATGGGGTCTAGGAACACACTGTTTTCAGTGAAGGAACCTCAGCTCTGCAGCTTTCCTACCTCACCTCTTGGCCTATCAGAGTTGAAATTAGTGGATTCTTGGTCATGCTGCAGGTTTTATAATTATTTCTAGCACTTACCTGAAAATAAGCTGAATAAAGTCACTGACTGATAAAATAACAATTTCAAGAAACATTGATTTTGTTTGTATGCTTTTTTCCCCTCCTTAGTTATGTGTCCAGACTTATGAAGAAGTACAAACTTCAATACAGAAATCAAATCATCATTGCAATCAGTGTATTTACCATCTTCAGGAGTTCTCACAAAAACATCATTCTCTTCAGACAAAGCACTTTCTCCAACCATGGTAGAGGCTGCAACTCTCATTTTATAATTTGTGTATTTTTTTAAACCTAAAAAAATAAGTAAAAACCAAATTATTGCTGATGATCCTCCTTGAACATTTCATAGCTTATTTATAAAACTATTAAAATGGATGCTGTTCTAAGACTTTTTGATATATATTTGCCATCTAAAAGTATAATACCATTTATCTGGGGAGATAAAGCACTTAGTCAAATCAATAAATTTTGAAATAAGTCAACTAGCTTCGACCCTGTAAATAGCTTTAATTTAGTTGTGAAAACAAGGGATGTGTATGTGTACATACGTGTTTTTATTCTATATGCATTACTCTGTTTAGCACAAATAAACTCCCCAAACCCCATTAAGCATGCATTTTCTTCAATTATTATCAAAATTTTCACCTAAAAAGACAAAAAATATTATTAACAGCATACAAATACTGGCTGGGAAGGGGAAATCAAGTCTGAAAAAGTATTATCAATTTAGAAACATTTTCCTGTATGGAAAGAAGAGGCTGAGGAAAAAAATAATGGAAAATCCATTTCACAAATTACTACTTGCTACATTATGTGCCTTATGTAGTCCTCTCCTCCATTCTCACATTCCCTGTATACCTCTCCACAGCAGACAAGTCTGACAGTAGTGTCCCAGCTTTGTTTTCACATGCAGATGTGTTGTGTGTGGATGGGGGAGATTTGATCTATCTGCCTTACAAATGGCTACGTTACATAAAGGTTGCATAAATGATTTTGCATAATATATTTGCAATTATTTTTTATCAAATGGCACTGTACCTGTCATAATTAAGCTGTTGTTTGAAGTTGTTGTGTGGAATGCTCTTTTTGTATCCAGCTCCATTGCATAAATGGTATAATGAATAATTTTCCCATTGGGATTTGCTGGAGGGTCCCAACACAGCAAAACAGAGGAGGAGCTAAGATTCTTATATGATATATTTTGCACTGAACTTGGAACTTCAACAAAAACACACAAAAAAGAAAAAAACAGTAAGTAAAATAAATTATTAAAAATAGAATAAAATTTCAATGAAAGAAGTTACGTATGTTAACTTATTTCTAAGTTACACATTACCTTGCTCGTGTGTCCTGACTGTGAGAACAGATGGTGGCCCTTCTCCAATAGCAGTGAAAGCAGACACACTGATTGTGTAGTCTGTGAAAGGTACAAGGCCCTTTATAACATATGACAGCTCTTCAGCCAAAATGTTAATGGCATACTGATTATCTGCAATCAAATGGAGAGAAATAGTTACTTACCTGAAAACCTTTTTTTTTTGTTTTTGCATTCTAAACTCAGTTTGACATGATATCCTTGAACTATTTTACTGCAAAAAGAATCAACTTTCATGGCAATTACAAAAATACAAAGAAAATGTTACACAGCATCTCATAATCAAGGAGTGGTTATTATAGGTCCACTTTCATGTGTGCAATCCTTTCTGCTTTTCAGAGGTCTTCTGTGAAGTAAGAATAGATAGATTGGCCTATGTGAAAGAACAAATGGGAGTGAACTAAAAACATGATGTGTACATTGAGAAATATCTCAAAAAAAATAATAATAAAAAAAGAGAGAAATGTCTAGGAACTAGGAAAAAGCAATCTTCCTATACTTCCAAGGACACTGGAACATAGTTCCGAACACTGGCTCCTAAGTTGTTGATGTTTTTGTATTTATTTATTTATTTATTTTATAATTTAGGAAAAAAAAATAAATTAGGAAAGACAAATTCTTTCCTCTTTACCCTCTCAATTGTGCTGTAACAGCTATACTTGAAATGGCTCCCATCACATATACCTTCACTCTGGTATTTTTAGCAGAAGAGTTGGGATCAGCAAAATGAAGAAATTATGCATATGTCCACAAAGAGTTTTCAGTGTATCTGTGATAAAGTTCAAAGTTGGCAGCAACCCAGCTGTGCTAGCCAAAATCCTCCAGTGCAAGGAGCCATTACACCACTGCAATGTGACAAAGTCTGGGTACACATATCTGAGCATCAAGTTAAAAGTTTTGCAAGATCAGCATTAAAATGGAGGCATCTAAAAATCAGCAAGCACTGTTGAAAACTTGGCTGTCAACAACTTTACTGTAACTACTATAATAGTTGTATACTAGATTACAACAGATGCTGTCTGAAATCAATTTTTCAGCAATATAGACATATTTTAGCAACTGACTAGCTCAAGCTGAATGAGGTGGTAAAAAGAACACTCACATTTTAAGCACCATACACTTTGTATGACAGAGGAGATCCTTTAGGATTAAAATAGTAAAGAAAAATTCCACTTTAGTTTACATTAATGGATATAATTCTGGTCTTTGATGGTGGTATATATGGAGAAATTCAATGATTTTAAAAGTGCATTCAGAATATAAAAAATTGACTGTCTACTGTTCAAAACTCTCATTGTAAAAAATGGCAGTAGTATCTTAAGCTCCTGCTTGTCAACTGTGGCCTGCTTAATGATTTGTAAATATCCATACTTAGAAAAGAAACACTGTTCCATTGATAATACAGAACAAGTGTACAGGCTAATGACATCACCATGTCATGGGGTCATCTCCACCTGTTTGTCACCCATATAGCAAAGTTGTAACTTTTTGACCTATTTACCTTCACTGACATTTGAAAACCTATTAGTCAAAAGGCTTAGAGAAATCAAGGTCTCTGAAGGGCTTGGAGATATGTTAATCCCTGACAATCACACCTGCTTTGGCAACTGTAATAACTGATTGTCTATGCAGCTTGGCTGATGGCTTTCGGGTGCTCCTTTCACTAGGAAGAAGGTCAGCTGGGTGACAAGGGGCTAGTTCCTGCCTGTGTGGCCTTCCCATTTGCTTCAGAAAGTTATTCAGTAGTAAAAAAATCTGACTCCAGCAAATGACCCATTCATAATTTGCTTGAACCATGTGCTAAAGATCATATTTGGGACAGTGATGGGGGGTCCTTTAGAGAAAAGGAGCAGGCAGAAAAATATATTAAAATACCTTACCCAAAGCAGAATGTAATTCCACAGCTCCATTTATAGTAGGCAAATTATCACCAGATACACTAGTAAATACTACTGGGGAAGCTGTCTGGATACTGGAAAACATTTCAGCAGAACCTTCGTATAATTCATTGGCTGTTTCCACTGAATTAGAAATGGCAGAAGGCTTAATGTTTTCATTTATCATGTATGGTTCCAAAGTATCGATCAAATACTAAAAATTAGAAAGATATAAAAAAAATCACAAGTCTTGTCAACAATATATTATTTAATCCATGTTATATATAGTATATAATTGTGTATTTGTCAACTTTGCAATATTTATACACTATATTGTAATGAATTTTGCAAAACAATATTTCTCATGAAAAAGCTCAGTTGCTAGTAGCTTAACATTTCTGTTCATTTTAAAAATTAAAAAACAACAACAAAACAAAAAAAAAACACACAAAAAAAACAACAAAACACAACACCAAATGCATTTTTTAATTTCTTAATATTTCTTAATTTATGGGTTTACATTGCAGTAAAACTGCAATTCTCCCATGTTTTAGAGCAAGGCCTTTAAATTTAATGTTATTATCCTTAGAGATACAATGAAAAGACATATTTGGGTTTGGGAGTTTTCTACTATACATATTCCAAAACAAGGTTGAAGATACAGACAAGAAGAAGGTTTCAAATGCTCCTGAAGAAAAAGAATAACAGGTTGATTAGGCTGATCAGAGGAAAAAATATTCCTGTGTGGCCTTTGAGTGAGGGAGAGATGAGAAGGAGATAAGGAGAAAAATAGAAGCCAATGAAATAAAGAGGTGAGGGAAAATAAGTGAGTAAATATGAGGAAAGGGAGAATGAAAGGAAGGCAAAGTCAGTAGGACAGCATGGACAAAAGACAAAGTTAGAAAGGGATGGGAGTAGATATAAAGGGAGCAACAACTAATATGAGAGGAACAAAGAAAGCTGAAAAGACAGAGGCTAGAACATACATGTAGGTACAAAATGGTGTGTAAGCACTAGATCATTATGCCCCTTCAGAATCTGGGACCTAATCCAGGACTATAGTGTCTCTAAATTGTTCTGCTGTCATCTGTGAATACTCCCCACTTGCACATATGGCCAAATTCACTGCCAGAAAGAGATGCTTTTACAGTGATGTAATTAATACACATTAGCCCTCTCCCTACAGACCCCAGGTGGAAAGATGGCAAAGCAGCTTTTTTAACCACTGTAACTAGGTGGGATTGACCACAGGCAGACACACAGCAACAATCTCACCTAAGTACCAACAGGTAAAACCTCTATGCACCTCATTTTCACATACATTTTATAGGAAAATAGTAACCCCCATGGAAATATCATTTGCCTCTGAGGCTTTTCCATTTGAGATAACAGCCTTTCGTTCCTAAGCATTGTTGAGTGCTATTATCAGTGTGTTTCCAACAGCTGAAATCCTGTAGATGCTCTAAAGTGTGGTCAACGGAGTTCCAAATGAGGTAATGTTTGTTATGATTTTTTTTTCCTTTAATTAGAAAATTATATTCAATAAAGCACATGTGATTCTGAACTAAGAACTCAAAAATAAGGAAATCCCAGCATTAAAACATGTCTGTGCAGATAATTTTCATCTTTTCTGTGTCTGTATAATTAAAGATTGTATCACAGTAGAGTCATATACTTTCACTTTCCAAGGACCCCAGCCTGATTTAATGAATGGATCTTTATCCTCATTTTTTTCCCCCTACTCCTTTTTTAATGTTTGGCTCCAGGGCTCTATTTAATGTATACCGTTCAACTTGAAAGCAAACTCCTTCACTGAGCTCTGCATTAAGAACTTAGATTATGTGTTAGATCTGTGCTTGGGTGGCTATATATTGATCTAGGCACCTACATCCATACTCCTACTTTTAGATCTGCTAAGAACTATTATGCTGCAAAGAACTAAAGGGCTAGAAGGGAAAATAAGATTGATGGCTATTGCAAC